CAAATCTCTAGAGACTGCCACACGGGTGCTTCCGTCACGCTCCCGCGTTGGATCTACGCGTCCCCGTCTTGGTTCAGACTTTTGAGTCAAAGGCTCGTCAAGGGTTACCAAATAAAACCCCATTCATCGGCGTGGGCCACCGCGAAGTATGTCCTACCCTTAGGTCTTAGGCACCAATTTGAAAAGAACTCTTTCCCATATGTCCAGTTCTTCCTCTCAATCCCAAGTAATCCTAAACACCCCCTGTTTACAAGACCAATCGGATATCATTCAGCGTTTTACCAGTAAGGCCAAATAATAAGAAGCTACAGGATATTTGAAGCCAAAAGTAGCATTTCTCGTAGCCGCGTTCATTGTCCACACACTCTATCACATTAGTCAACAACCTGACTTGGCTAGAACCCCTGAGACGTTCAATTTAGATATATGCTGTCTCTGAAACACGTATTCAAGACCCTACTTCACTTATCTTCCTGCGTTCTCCTGATCCAACCTCAGACACACGCTTCATCCCTCGTGTATCAGGTGATTCGCATCCGACGCTCGGAGTGTTGCTTGTAGCGAGAAAGCGCTAAATACCAAACCTGAGCACTCACTTCTTGCCTGGATTCTAGTCAGTAGCCGACTGTGCGCTGTACGTCTCAACGGTTTAGCAAGGGGCAATATCTATAGAACGAAGTGTCAATACTTATTCGTCGTATTGCTATATGCAAATCAGCCTTTGTAGCTAAGGTCCCCGATCGCCCATCAGTTGAATCACCAGCCTAAGTACTCAATGAACACTAGAGGCAAATCAAGGAAACTATGAAATTATCGATAAAAACAACGTCGGACACTGCCGGAAGCTCAAAACACATAAAATGAACCCTGTCGACCTCCGCTGCTATCCTGGATGCCCACAGTACCCTTCCTCTTGATGGCACGTATGCCACAGCGCGCAAATCCCTCAAGCGCCAGCGTAAGGCCACCTGTCCTGACAGGCTGTCACAATCGGCTTTCATGGATGAAAGCTCAGCCTTGGTTGCTGATTTAAAAAAGCTCCTGGGCTCAGCATGAGAGAGGGACGAGGTTCCAAATGAATGGTGTGAATCGGTCATCATACCGATTTACAAGAAAGGTGAGAGATTCTCTTGTGCAAACCACGGAGGAATTAGTTTAGTCAACATCGTCTCTGAACCTGTCGCTGGTATCGTACTGCTTTAATTGTCTGCCGCACGTGAATAATGCACACCTCAGATTTATACCGGGTTCAAATCTGTTCGAGGCTGTATTGACCGCATCTTCATTCATCGCCAAGTTCTGGAGCACTAACATTCTTTATTTTGTCCCACGATCTCTTTCTTCCTCGATCTGAAAACGGTTTTCGACTCAGTCGACCACTCTCACTCTCTGAAAGGCGTGTCCGATAATTTTATTTCAATGCTGAGACTCTTTTATACCAATAGCCGAAGTCTGTTTGGAGCTTACGGCACGTTTTCGCCCGTCAGGGTTGCACTCTGTCTCCTTTTCTTTTCAACTTGGTTATGGATTTGAGTATGGAAACAGTCCTGTACTCGTGCGAGGATAGGAGCATCCATTCAGGGTATGGAAATGATATTGTGCTGCTAAGAGAGGATTCAAGTAAGTTGCAATCCTTTCTTGAGAGCTTGAGTGCCAGCGTAACCATGTTCGCTATGCGTTGTGCAAAATGTTACTACAAGACTGGGTTGGTCTGGCACCCCGACTCACTCTAACCGTGGAAGTATTAGAGCAAGTGAATATTTATGTTGTTTGGGCAGTCACGTCTCACCCGTTAGGCGCATTACGGATGAAGTGTCTGCTCGCATACAGAAGGCTTGATTGGCATTTGCCAACTTCAGGCATCTGTGTTACCGCCGTGACATCTGGCTGTCCATGAAGGGTTGAGTATATGCTGCGGCAGTTCGGCCAGTTTTGCTATAAAGCGAAGAAACTAGGTCACCAAGGACTCAAGATAAATATAGACTGTCGGTTTTAGGGCATCTCTGTGTACGTAGCTTTAGACCAATCTGTTGGGGTAGCCAGACGAGCAATACTGCGTTTAGGCGCAGAGTTTTAGGTAACGGCGATCGCTCACTGGAGCAAGTGGTCTACCTCCATAGATTAAGTTGGTTGGGGCATGTGTTACGCGTGTCACCAAATAGGTTGCCACGTCGAGCAATATTCGCCGATGGGACGGTAATAACCGATAGTTAGAGACACTCAGTCATATGGCTATCTTTAACAGTGGCGTTCGTGCATCTTCTGAATTTCTTTGCAAAATCAGTCACTGAAATTTCCTATTTTATCTTCTACTTCCAACCCCCCTGTCTTCCTCCTACTGTTCTTCTTCGAAATGGGCAGCCAAAAGACAACAACCAAAACTGGTGCACGAAATTGCTTGGCTAATGGTTGTTCAAACTGAAACTGAAACTAAAACCCATGAGCTTTTTTTCGAGTTTTCAGATGAACATGGACCTTACTTGTTACCGTCATATCAGAGTTCATTCACTGATGCAGATGTGCATACGGCAGACTCCCTCGGGCGAATAGTTTCACACCAATCTACTCACATGCGGGATGAGAATCCTTGACAGACGTGAAAAAGCTTTTCGAAAAGAAAATTGAGCGTACAATCTTTGTCCATCTGATTAACATGGAGTTGTAGTGAACCCTCACTTAGACCTCTTAAACCGCTCAAAACGTAACCGGCTGTTTTCACGTACCCTACCAAATGCAACTGAAATAACACTGATTCCTTCATCTAAATACCTACTCTGCTTGATCTAGTACCACTGCACTAGTTGCATCTAGTTATTATTGCCCGAGGATATGGGAAACATTGATCCACTTATCGTAGCTGCCCTACTTGGGGCATAGTCAAACACACTTGGACTCAGGTACAGATTCACTACATCTGAGTTCGGACATGTGATATCTTCGATAGATTTTCATACCGCATACGTTCGATTGATTTGATTTAAGAAATTCATTATTTTCCTCTGTAAGGTAACCATTCTTGTCTTTATTTACGTGAAAGAAATCTGATCTTTGACAAGGCTACGCCTTAAGACTGGAATTTGGACTAGACTTTGATGTGTATTTAATGTTCACTGTACGCTACTAGTCGAAACCAAGCTAAATCTCAGGGGATCTTTTACAACTTCGGTAATCATGTAAAGCAGTGTGCCGCAGAGCTACTCATTTTCGCCTTCGCTTTCCAGTTACTTGCTTAATGTTGTATTAGAAATGCATCTATTAGCGCACTGGGATGGTGGGTTTTGGTTACTTCTGGATAATGAACTTTCTGTTTTCTCATTCTAGGAGACATGTGATTGTCCAGTAGGAATACAGATAAGTCGCAAGATGTGGGAAAATGCCCTATTTTAGTGCTTCCATCGACTGATATGCATTCGCATCATCAGTGTGTAAATGGCTGATAAGTGGTTGCGATACACTCGTACGATAATTCATTCTAACCGAATACTTCCTGGCAGATGACACGTGGATAACATGTCACCACGCACATGGAAGGCTCCTGTGGCAATTGCAAAAAAGTGACGTCGAGACATCTAGTTATTTATGAAGTATCAAATTCAGATGGGAAGAATTTTCCCAGGCACATTACCTGGAATCAGTCGAATTTCGCTGGACATTGTAGTTGCTGAGGTAGTGGAATTTGGGGAAAAGTTAATGGAATGGTCAAACAGTGGATGTAAGGGTGCTGAATGAAAACCTTGCATCATAGTATCAAGTTTTGAGGTTGGAATCGTAAAATCGATAGATAAAGAGAGTGACAACTAAAAGCGGTAGACAGTGAGGATTATGAGTCTTGTCTCTCTACAAACATCCGCCATTGACGCTGTGCTGGAAAAGCTATTTTCCTTCCTTCTAGCGTTTCTCGCATCACATGATAAGATTCTTAGCCAGAAAACAATCCAAAACCAAACAGTGGTGTTGTATAATCTCATGGTTATCAGAGTTAAGATTGCTGAAACTAATAATGCATTATTTGAAAGCGGTTATTTGCCCAGTCTGTATCTTCTTACTCATCATCAGCAATTTCAGCCCGAGTTTGACTATAAAAGCTTTTGGGAATGTCATTGTAATAGTGTATAATACTCAGCTTCCAAACAGAAGGGGGCATTTCAACGCTTTCAGCCAAAAATCTCCAAGCAATCAATTTACAAACGATTTCAAAGTGCACTCCATGTCAATGATCATCGTATTGTAAAATGTGACCCCAAGAATTTCATTAGATATAAAATTTTATATATTACGATTAAACGTCTATTTGAAACTTTCTTATCCTCGTGTTTTTGTGTAGCGCATGAGCAAGGCGTTGACTACGGCGCCGAACATTTTCGGCTCAAACTCCGACAGAGACACAAGCATTCGTTCCTTATACGTGCTAATTGGATCCGGATGTATAAACTATCGAAAAGTTCTAGACCATTTCTCATGGATTTTTTGCTTAGGTTACCAGTGATACTTTCAAGCGTCACGTTGACCCATTTTTACACTGGATGTTGCAACTTACTATTCCATCTTTAACCTAGCTTCGCAGTATCGTTGAACATGTAGATTGGGCTTGTAATTAAATATCCACAATGTTCAAGTATACGCTCCGTTGGAAACTGAATACCAAACATGGTGGGGGTTATTTGAAAGCAGAAACTACGCTATCGTTGCACAGCTTCATAAATGAAAATCGAATATAGATAACATTGCTCAACTTATCGGGATAGGAGAATCCTCAACCACGTTCAAATCTGAACGTTGAAGTGACTTTCTTGATTGAAAACTAACTACTTTATTCTGTTTAAATGGGTCACAATACAATAAAAATGGTAGAAACTAACCAACTATCTATGGATCTTGCCTATAGCAACGATAAACAGAGTGTAAATACAATCTTCACGCGATGAACAAACTTTGCATCGGACCTTGACAATTATCTTGGATCGCATGTGTTTGTATGCATGTAGTTATGCATGTGTCATTTATGCATACCAATATCCAGAGTCGGTGGAACACGTCTGTATGCTACTCTCTGTATCCCCGGTTTCCGTCAATGAGAAGCCATCTGGCAACGTGGAGTCCTGTTGCTGTATGATGATTGGTGTTGTGATATGTCCGATTGGATAATCTCTGTGCGTTGTATGTTTTCTCTGGGATTCATTTTTACGCAGTTCCTCCAATTTATTCCGCAAACAAGTTAACTCATCCTGCAAATCAATACCAGTCAACAGAGCGTAACGTTGCAAAATGTATGCCGCTTCATCGACTTGGTCAATGCTCGCAATCGATTTGTCCTCTTGTAGCTGTTGGTCACTGATCATGGATGAAGGTGTCTGTTCAGTGTCGGTTTCATAACAAACATTATTATCTGGTATATCAAAATGAAAGAACTTAGGCGGAATTGAAAACGAACGTTTTACCGAGAACATTTGAACTCATAGTTGTTAGACCAATGGACGCTCTTGAGGACATTATCTGAGCTTCGGACGTCGAATCTTGAGATGATAAAATCAACGCGACATTGTCTTCCACGCGATCTAATCTCGTTCGTGGGGAGTGAAGAATTTTGTTCCCCGCAGGGAGAAGCGGTGAGATAGGAAGAAGTTGCATGAAAAAAGGGTGAATGAAAGGCAATAAAGTGAGTTCATTTAATTAGGCAAAAAGAAATCAGTTGTTCAAGTTAGGCTGAAGGTAAGACCACGAGCAAATAGACACAGTTGTCAGAGATATTCTATGCTTAGTGACCATACAGTATTCCAAAACATCTGTAACAACCAGGGTGTTTCGGGTTCACTTTATCCAAAAACTGTCATCATAAAAATTTATTATTTAGTGAAAACACTCTGTTTTATTATTTTATTAACAATCTTAGACCACAATCAAAAACGGAGGAGAAAAGCTTTTTTGTCTGTTACATTTAAAACTTTTGGCCCTGTGAGTTTAAATCTGAAGTTTAAATCTGATTTTACATAGTCCATAGGCAGTCTGTCTATTCCCCTTAAAAACAAGCGTACACCAATATCTTCAACAGTTCCAAGAACTGAATCGTTGTCTCTATATAGACCCTAGTGTATATCACCTTGCACAGGATCAACCAAGAACATACTGCAAGTTTAGTAACAGTACTCTTGTATGCTTCAACGACGGATAGCATCGTATAGGTCGAGCTAAACCTCATCAGCAGTGTGTATAATTACGTTGTCTCTGCCAGTTCTTAGACCTCAATAAGTCTGGAGATGAACAGAACAGCCGTTCAGTGTTCTTCATTCGAGAGCCGAAGCAGAACACTCCATCGTATCGGAAACACTTGCATCCCAATGAGTAAACCCCACTCACTAACCATCTACGAATACTCCGGTGACTTTGAATTCGCATGAACACTACAACTAGATGTCTCACTAGACCTAATGTTTTTTCTGATTCATCAACCATCACAATAAACTCTCTGGGTGTATCAATGCTGGGTTTTAGTTAACCAAACAAAACGGAAGTTATCCATATTGTGTACAAAGCACAGTGATGGTGCTCAGAGCGACAAGGAGGCAATACTGCTAGCACGTAAACAGTTACCCCTTTTGATTGTGTTTACACCCCGGAACAAGTTAGCCGAAAAACTACATTAGGATGTTTTAATGATGTTAAGCTATTTAAAAATGTATAGAATAATTGTTATACTTGATTAAACACTGTCGGTACTAGGCAAATGTACAACAATGCTCCAAACCGGTGAAATGTGGGCATATCACTTATCCCGGATATTCTTACCTTTGGTTGACCATTTTGGACGAGGAAACGATTTTCGATGACGGTGGAGGAATGGGGTTTTGGCTGCCATGGAATCGGTTGAGTCCTCTGTCTCATCTGCACTGCTCACATTCCCCTTCGGCCAATTGGCATTTGTTGCATCATCTTCGCTTCCGCTACCATCGCTATCCGTGTCCGCCTTGGTTGCAATTGGCTCGGCTTCGTAATCGTGTGTGACAGCCAACTGATCATCCGGTGGGAATGATATTCGTAGTTTAGGAGCGGGCTATTTGTAACAAAGTGGAATATTGTATCGTTGGATAAGAACGAAACCCAACTCAATGTGAAAACAGCGAAAATAAATCTTGACACTCTCATCATCATTGAGCCGTAATCAGTGAACACTTGAAATCAGGTATCACTATTAGATTCACACAAGCCGTGTGTGTAAAAGCATCAACAGAATCTATCCTTGGGGTGTTATCATGATAAACTTGTCAAAGGGTTGCAATGAACCCTATTCCTGATATGTCGATAACACTTTTATATTTATACATACTTATTGTTATTCATTCCATTTTTATCTTTTATGAAATTACGCGAATAAATTTCCTAGATAGAAGTAACCGACAACCTTGTGGAAACTTAGGCGTGGTGGAGTTCGAACGCCACTACTGGTTTCCAACTCCGAAACATTACTTAAATGACGAGTCCCAAATTATATTTGCATTGGCAGAACAGTACAGCTGTGAAACTAATTCTTCCTCAGTAGACTCTTGCAGTAAATAAATTACCACAAACTGTAAGCAAGACACAAACTCCCTAGATCAATTGAAGCTTTTAGGTTCGCTATGCTCTTGGATTGTAACAGACTAAATCTGAACTGATGTGCACGTAAATGCATGAACCGAAACCAACTACACCTGTTTTATACACAATCCAATACATATCATTCAGAAAGGTTTCGGGTGTATTGGATTTGATTTTGAAGCATATTAGAAACAATTGAGGATGAATGAATTACTCACAACAAGCTGGCGTAAAAACCCAACCAACAACATTATTTTTACCATTACAAACTAGGTTGGTATGTGTGACATCAAGTTTTCCCAAAAGGGAAAAAGGTGATCGCTATGCGTTGTGTGCGTGGTATCAATCCACATGTAATGATTTTTACTGGTCAGCTTTAACAGCAAAACCCAGGGAGTACTGGATTCAGTAGACTTGGTTTGTTTTGGCTTGGTCAGCGTTTTGGAATTAGCCACACCACCAACAATAAGGAAAAGAATAAAATTAAGCACACACAGGTCACAGGACAGTTGCTAGTACAAACGAGTGAAGCTCAAGGAGACCAAATCCATATAGAAAATTAATGTGATCACGATATTCACTCCCGACAGCATTTAGTTTTATCACTACATTGTTATCCATTTATTAATCCAAACTTAAAGTAACAAACAGGGAGGTAAAGCATAATCTACACCAGTATCTAGTGTGCTCATTCTGTTGCTTTGATCCAGTATCTATAATCCTGTGGAAAATAACCGCGCTGAGACGATCTATCTGAGGTGATTTGTAACACGTATAAAAGACAGCAAATTGAACCACCTGCTTTAGTGTACCCCACAATAAGTTAATCGGTAATGCCCGTCCAGGTATTCCATCACACTGATGCAGCGTTACGTAGACAGCAGTATCCGAAATAATCAGTTCATGTTTATAAAAAACTGCTTACGATATCGAGCATCCATTGATTTGTTACAGCATTCCTTCCTATTGTAGCAATCCTGATGCCACGAGTGGGTGAAAGTTTGCTTTTGGTGATTTCTATAATGTACTCACTCGTTCTGCAAACGAGTACTGGTTTGCAGTGCAAATTTACTCGGTGAAAAAATTACCATTACTACTGACGGAAAGAGTATGAAGCTCGATAGTGTTTATTCTTCTGCACAGAATAAACATCGAATGATACATGTTGATTTATGGTTCTCCCGAACAGTACGGCTTTTTGGAGGGTAAAAAAATGTTGGCAGAATGTTGAAACTCAGTTCTCTTTGCTTAAATCAGTTGGCTCTGATAGGGTTTGCTCACCTTGTCCGAAAAACACTATCGTCGGTTTAATTAAGCTTACAAAGAAAATGCCGATTTTTGCGAGCTAGTGCCAATACGATGACTTAAATATTCTGCACTGGGCAGGTTTAAAGATTTGCATTCCATTTCTTTTGTAACAGCAATTCAGTACAATTCTGTTATATTAGTGTATTATGCATTATTATTATTATTCATTAAGTTTATGCAACAGTTTTCTAGATTTTTCACCCGTAGATGATTATCTAGTGAAACTATAACAAGATGGTAGTGCATAAAACTCAAATGGCTTAAAACAATCCATATATTCAAATCATTTGTTTTGTGCATTTATCGTCAGACGGGAACAAAATAGTGGGATTAAATGAAGTTTAAGGAACGTGATTTTATGATTATAGATTTTTATTCACAACTACAGCTTTTTAAATGTTCCAGATTTTAGACACGTGTGACCAGGTTATTTTGGCTGATAGCATTTGTACCCAAGATCATCGAATGCTAGAGACAGTCACACAGTGTTTTATCACGGTTACCCCTACTGCTAACGTATTAACTCTGTAGTTCATTTCCGGATCTCGTAATCTCCCGACAGGATACAATGAATTTTGTTCACCCCCCCCCCAAAAAAAAAATAGTCTCAATACTGTAATCAAAATCCACAGAATAACATCAAAACTTTTCAAACCTCTTTTGAGGAAGTAACACTATATTTTTACTACAGTTATAATTTTTACATCAAAATACCTGGTATGAATTCTTTGAGAAACTGGAAAAATTTGAAAACCAGTACATAGCGCCCTATCTATCTAGACAGCACTAACTCTCGCTGTCTAACAAAACATTTTCAATCGCTTTTATCAAAGCCAACCTGTTTATATGTTCACGTTACAATTTTCAATTGTTTTCATAGCAGCAAACAAACAACTTATTTTTCAATACTTTGAACTTCGTCATGTATGGAGCAAAGGAGGAGCAAGCAGAAATGCTGAAAAGTGTACAGCTGCTTCGCCCTGACTGGGTCCCATCAGTGGTTTGAATCTACTGACCCAGCTGAGGACCACATCCGGGGCTTCAGATGAAGGACATAGACATACCATCCACTCGATCGCTAAGCAGCTGATCAGACCCTTTTCCATTTGATCTAAACACGATACGACACAACACATCTCTGTCGTCTTGTTACCCATATCACATTTCGGTCGGAAACACCCAATCTGAGTATCTGGTGTACTCCAGAAGTGGAGGACTTCATTGGGTTATATGGAAATTTTCGTCTTGTGCAGAGCAAATAAAGCGCCAACTGAAAACCTAGTAAGTATTGATCAGTTTACCAATGGGAAAGTGGGTAGTATAGTTACATTACACCTGTGAGGTCCATGGTTCAATCCTTGGTCGGTTCGATGGATTTGCACTGATGAAGAGACCCATTCAGAACAAAATAGCCGTTCACTGCTTGCTAACTTTTCATTTTAGGCGTTATTTACTCTATGCTCGAAGAAATTTTTTATATAAACGAAGTAAACCCTTCACTGCTCTCAAGCAAACATTATTTTCAATAAATGATTGAAATTGAAGTTTTCTGAATAACTGTTCGCTTTACAGGATGAGTGAATGAACTATATTTCTGAAATTCTTTTTGTCCGCCCTACCACTCCTATACTAATCTTTACACAATTCGAACAGGACCAGAACAAGAATACATTACACTGAACATCATCTGATATCTCATTAGTTGTGTTCAACAAAAGATCCTCATTCAGATACAAGTGACTAGTTCTGAATATATTTGTACTCCATTCAATCAAACCCATGTTTCCAACAGCACGGTAAAAGTTAGTGCCTAATTTTTATTATTTTCAGGTTGAACAGGTTGCTTTTCCATAATACTAGATATATATCATAGCGACCATGATAGAAAAGGATTATTACATTATATGGCGATTGTGAAAAGTTTATTAGCCTCAGTGGGATTCGAACCCACGCATGGACGCCTCCTACGCTTTGTACTTGCACGGTCTACCAGCTGAGTTACGTGACCTCGTAACTCATCTGGTAGAGCGTGCGCGTACAATGCGTAGGTGGCGTCTATGCGTGGGTTCGAATCCCACTGAGGCCACTGAACTTTTCACAACTGCCATAAAAAATCAAATCTACCAAACATCCAACGGTAATATAGACAATTAAGCATCATAATACTTTGTAATTTGCTTTTTGACAAGCTCATACTGCAAATTACAGGAAGTTCATTTTAACTTTGCCAAGTAATCAAATCTTTCTCATTTTCCCCCTGAAGCACTTTATGGTGCTCAGTTAGTTAATCTTCAATGAACGCAACGGTATTCCTGTAAAACCAACTTTATTGCTGCCGTCATTCTTAATAGTAGTTTAATTTTCTCTTTGAACTATTGGAGTTCATTTGTTGTTTCACAATTTAGTTGTTTCACAACCGGAGTGAACTGTTCTTTTACTCACTGGATGAACACTGAAAATCGGTAGTGGATTGTTCGAATCATCAAGTAAAGATTTTATCTTTTCTCACTCACAAAAACACAAGAAGGCGTTGAAATGTTGAAATTCAGACAGCTTTTAATACAGGAGAAACAATAAAACCGAAATAACTTCACTTATTTGAACGTTGTTCTGGAATTGAATCCGTCGCCTTAGACGAAAACTACTCCGTATATCTCAAATGACTTGTCTAATTGCTGATATTTTGAATAAAAAGGTGTTCTGCTGAAACTCAAACATATCTAATAAATGTTCTTCTGACAAGATCCTTTAGAGCTCCTTCCGGAAGGCAGTTCTGAGAAATTTCCGGATTATCACACTAGGTCAAGTAACATTTTCTCTTAAACAACCTGGACCGCTTATCAATCTCATACAATATTTATGGAATCCATGGCGCCCTATTCTGCATTATACTGTTTCCCGCCTAATCTGTACGTTTTTGATAGCGCACATTCATCCATATCCCGGAATTTGTGATATTTAAGCTCTAACTAACGTTGAGCTCACAAGTTGGCTGTCATTTTCTTTCTCTGACAGTCAGTACTGTGTGTACTAGAGACTAATGTCCTTTGACAACAGTAGCAAAACTGTCCTAGGGTTAAATCATTTTTACTGTGACATTTAGCATGAATGAAGGACAACAGATATACTTAGCAAACGGCAATTAGAATTAGTTACTACGTAGATAGA